CCCCCCCCCCCCCCGGGTCCGCCAGTGTTTTCAATTACACAATAAAATATTCATTATTTTTTTTTTACTTTTTAATTACATATTCTTCAAAAATTCACTATTCAAAATAACGTTATTCCCAAAAAAAATTACCAACAAATAGGAGCTAAACAACTTTGCATTTTCTTCATTAGGATACGTTCATGTATATTCTTCTTCACCTTTTCTACTTGTAATTTTCATAAAATAAATCAAAATCCATTTTGTTTTGTCATTTTCCACTTCCCTTTGCTAGGAAAATATGGCTGCAAATTACAATTGATTGAAGTCCGACGGTGGGTCAATCTTAAGTCAATTGTACTCATTCTCAATAAAAAAATGTCTGAAGCCAAGCATATTGTTTCATGTATTTTCTAACCTGCAACTTCTCATTCTATAAATTTAATGACATCGGGTCTCACGCCTCGCGTCCTAATTATATTTAGTTAATAATTCTTACCATTAATCAATTATAAAATTTTTAAGTTTTCAAAATACAAAAATTAAACTACTTTTCATGGTTTAAACTTTCAAGTAGAAATATCCTAATTAAGAGATTCATAGGAACAATTTTCAATAAAATGTTTAAGTCTCAAAATGATAATTACATAATATAAAAAACACAATAGCTCAAATATTATCTATATTTTTATCGAATAAAGTCATTTTTTACTTTTGTACAATAAAATGATTTAAAAACTTAAAACTAAAGTAAAATAAAGGTCTTTTAAAAAATTAAAAAAGTTAATAATCTAAAGTCAAATAAAAGATTTTTTTAAAAAGGGAAAATTGAAAAATAATAATAAAGCACGCCTAGACGTACATTAAGCGGTCAACGTATTCACAGTTACTACTAAGGCAATGTACGTGGTCAACGTATTCACGGTTACTACTAAGGCAATGTGTTTTGTCAGCGCTTCATGACATTTAGGCGTTATCTAGATGCGTTTTTTAGAACACTGATTTGATTTATGGTAAGAGAATAGAATCTTACAAAGAGGAGAGAGAGTTCATTATAAATTCAACGCCAAGGCATTAATTTGATCACGAAGTCGCGCCAATAAGAATATTTGGCAGGTACATGAGAATAGAAGAGTAGGAAAAGATGAGCATTTGGTCCTTTCAGTTTTGTGTAGAGAGATTTTGAGACTCTAGAGTAAGAAAATGTAAGTATTGGACTTTTTAGTTTTGTGTTGAGAGAATTTGAAGAATGTTTTGGAATTAATCACATGTTTTGTTGTGATTTTAGTCGGTTCAAAAATTATGATAGTTCGAAAATGTCTCCAATTTCACACATCAGGTAAATTTGTTTTTCAACTTTCACAAAGTAAGCTTTCGAAATGATCACTCTGCCCCTTATTGCATTTCTCCAAACCCCAACTAATTAATTTCCTTCTGTGATCATAATGAAGGGACATATCGATCATTGCAACAATTAGTTTCTGAGATGATAGGCTAGAAGTCAACATTTTCATCATTGGTGTACAACACAATATAATTTTTTTCTTACTTGACTCACATTTTGACACCAAAGAATTCATTTTTTGCTTAAAACCTATAAAAGACCGGTGATAAAAGTTTTGATTAACACAAGAAGTTTGTCGAATCATGTAAATTTTTGTTTTTCTCTCTATTTTACTTAATTTTTTTCCACTAATTTTCTGAAAGAAGGATAAATAAGAACCATATCGATCAACTCATTTCTCAAGTTTGGTTGAAAATCATATTTCCAACCAACTTCATGTGCCTGAAGTTCCTTTAATTTTCTGGGACTTTATATTTACCCCTTCTGTTTATTTCCTCGTCATTTCATGTATGGAAAATGAATGGACAATTCAGAGTAAATCTAACAATATATACTCTCCCCATATTGTCAATTTTTTTTGTGAAAGACTTGCATTAAGGGTTATTAGCTGTTTATCTAGCCCTATTTTGGTGTAATTAAAAATCATATTTTTAATAGATTGTAGTAAAAGTTGATGAAGTGTGTAATTAAAAAGTTATGGATCCAAAAAACTGTGATTAAATTACTGTTAATTTTGACTTAAATATTTAACAAGCTTTTATTCTACACCAAATGGGGATTTATAAAGCAAGTGGTGGAGCGAGCAATAAGCATATTGTCACGAAAATTTTCGGGAAATCTTGATTCGGACTCAATTTAATCAACCAAATAAACACCAACCGAGGAGGCTCCGACCCACAATTTTAACACTCTAATTTCCACTAGTTTTCACCCCCCACAAAGGAGGAAGATGATGGTAACAATATCACAAAGACAAAAAAATGAAGTGCAATGGTTGAACTCTCAAACGAATCACCAAGAACAACTACCTTACCATTTCTCCTCCATTGCATGTGCGCACTCACCCCACGCGGCTACTATATATTGGTTAATTAGGTCACCAAATATGGGACAACTCAAGTGGATAAAGCAAAGTATTGAACATCCAACAGAAGGGCCAATGTTAACAATAAATGGGCCAACTAATTTCAACATCCAACTTAATAACTTGGGTCATCTACGAGTGTTTGACTATGAGCTGCATTAACTCAATTAAATTGCTTCTAGTGGCCCCAAATTGTTTTCGAGTCAAGCCATCATTGTTGTAAATATAAATTATCCAACATCGATTTAAGAGTATCGTCCCGGATTTATTGAGTATTAAAACCCAGCACATATAATGTCACGATTTTCGCTTTCAATTATTTAAGTGAAAATTATGAATGTTTGGAAGGTGAATAAATTAAAATTTAAGTGATTATAAATTGCGAGTACTTATACAAAATGTGTGGATAATAAGTTTACACTAGATGTAAAACCTACAAAATGTGTGGATTAAAACTATATTTGAATTTTAA